TACTTTTACTTTTACTCGAGGTGCGTACATACAAAATGTCATCTAAATATCTTAACAAATTCCAAAATTGGAATGCGCATGCGCAACTTTTTTTCATCTTCAAAGTTTGTGGTTTAAGGAATATTTACTGACACAGAAAACCGACCATTCTTTGAAGGTTCGGGTCTTGATATCTGCGCGTGAAAAAGTTCTCTAATATTTTTATAATTGTTCGGAAGTTCTTGCACGATGCACGTCAAATGACCAAGTACGCTACTTTTGATTTTCCGAATTCGATTATTTATAACTATTCCAATTTGAACTAATGAATAGTTCGGATCTTTAACTTGATCTCACAGAAGCTTCAAAGCACACTTATTTTGACGTGATCTCTACGACGGCTCAAAACCAAATCAATTTTTCCGTGCTCTTACAATTTTACAATGAGCTATCTATTAAAATTTTTCTCTGCGCACCAGCCAACTAAATAAAAACTGCTTAATGCATTTCGAAATTTTGGAATCCCAGCGCTCTAAAGAGACCACCCTACTTAACACTGAATATTGCGAAAAATGCGGTCCGTGGAAGATACGACAAACAATCCTTCTCTACTTTTATGTAAATGGCGTACTAAATTGGCGGTCGATGCGGTAAAAGCGATGGAAAATGTGAACCATGGAAGATGATACACAAGCAATTCTTTCCTATTCCGGTGTAAAAGACGGTCCATGCCAAATCTGCGGTGGATACGAAAAAGGCGACCTATGTGAGAGTGACGGATGTCACAAAAAATGTGATCCATAGGAGATGTGTAAGCAACCCTTCCCTATTCCGATGTAAAAGGCAGTCGACAGGAAAAGGGTGGAAAATCCGTTTTGTGTTCATTGAAAATACTTATGCTGGAATTGTCAAATTAAAAATGAAAATACCGATCTGAAGTTATGATTTTTGAATATTAAAATGAAGTGAGAACGAAAAAATTAACTATCTAGATTCCCCCTCCCCCCCCCCCTCACATTTTAATCCACTGAAATTAAAGCATCTATCTTAAAATCAAATGCTATAATGCAAACAGATTTCTGCTTCATAACGACTCGCCTTGTACAAAATTCTGCAATTTGGGGTGGGCTAATAGCTATGAACTCGTACGATATTGCTCAAAGTTATTTAATTGACTTCTCGCTTCCACGATGTCATAAAAATCTGGGACTCGCCTCAAACATCATGATAATTAAGCGCGCTTCAAATGACACGTTAGCTGCAACACTTCTACTTAGCTACCGGTAATTATCCTTACTTAATTGGCCGAGTTGAAATTCCTAAATTCAGAAGTTCAGTAATAGATACCAATTATTTCTTGAGGATTTCGAGTCGAGACGATTGTAAGGATGCGTTATCATCGTTCACTTCTGTGCCTGTGCACGTTTTATCTAGTTTTCACTTAGCCTTGCAAAAATAAAATCGGGGACGACTAATGAATAAACGGAAATGTAATATTCATTTTCCCTAATCTTCCAAAATGACCAGAGCTTTCGGATGCTGCGAAAATAATTTAAGTATCCCCACGGGAACGGTTACAAAACAATGGATTATACACGATATCTTGTTTTTACTATCAGCGGTTGAGGTACGGCGCAACAAATTAAATCAATTAATTCTACACTCTATTACCAACTCCTCGAAGATAAATAAATATGTCCAGAAGTTACGGTTGTTAGTAATGAAGCTTCCGATTGAGTTCATTTATATACAGTGTGTTCCTTACTTATGTCTGGTAGATTTCATGGCGCAAAACGAGTGCTTCGTTACACACTTACCTCCCTATTGTTTACACTGGTATACCACCACCCCTAACTGGTGGCTAAACCATTATACAATAATGCCTAACAATGCAATGCAAATTTTATTCAATTTGAACGTCTTATCAAATAAAATAAAGATTCGTTTCGGGTATCCATCTGGGTTATCTTGAAGTGCTACCAAAAGAATTTTCTTTCGAAGGTGTCTGTGTATTGCAGAAGTGGCGGTATTTAGAAAAGTAAATGTTGTTTTGTCTCACAATTTAAATCAAGAAAAGGTACGTAAAATGTCCCCTTGTACCTAACCTACCAAATTCCTGAGGTCGATGTTTGTTCATTCTACGATTTTTTATGTAAATTGCCTAAGGGGTTAATTTTTGAATTTCTACTGAATAATACCAATTTTCCCTTAGGGAGTTTCCTCTCAATGTGTGTTGCAAATTAGCATACTTGATAGTCAATCAATCGTATTATCGAGCTGACTTTACATTACCATAAAATGTGCCTAATAAAATGAACGCGGTAAATTAAAATTCTGATGGTGTGTTTACTTATCCGGGACAAGATTTTTAATTTCAATTTCTTAATCAACTGTTACGTTAATGTTACTTTCTGTTTCTCCCACGCGCGGATTTAGTGTTTTTTTGATACCCGAATAACGTAGGTATACCTACCTAAGTAATTACGGCGAAGTCTTGCAAGTCATTCATTAATGTTTCGTTTTGTTTTAGGTATGTACGACTATACGGTTTCTGGCATCCTGGCGCTTCCTACTTACTACTTGTGGTAAGTGTAACTACTAATGACAATTTTAGTATTCCAATTATGCATAGATGTACTTTTCCAAAATCGAATCTTAGTGTAGGTAGCCGAGTTCAATGAAATGCTTTCAGTTTACACATTTTGGCATAAGGCAGACGTAAATAAACTGGGAGGTACTTTTTCATTCAAGAATCCTTTTTTTATCCTGATTGAAAACGTGTCTAAGATGGTAACAGCACTAGCTGTCGAATGCTAGTTTGATTGCATCTTGAACTATTTACCTGCTAGGATTTGATAGTATGAATGGCGAGTCATTAGCAAAATTCTTTCGTTTGTTCACCGTGCGTGTTTTTGACTTTTGAGTAACACAAATTTGTAGGCGTTGAGACATGTCCTAATCGAGTGTCCAAGGAATCTTTCACAATTCTATCGTTCGATCTGATTCGGACATGATTTTGGTGGTAACGCTTTTTTCGACGATTAAAAGTCGCTTGACGTAATCAAAGTAGTCGACGTGGACAATGGAGAATTCGCATTTTTTTTGTATATCGGATCGGCTTTTAAGTTAAATAAAAGTCAGGCCTTCACGTACGCAACGTCGATGTCTACTAAAGATACATCAGGCAGCAGTCGATTCTATCACGTATATTGAATGGCTTCCATGTTCGTACTCTTCCCATGCAAATCACTGGAAACCACTTTCATAAAAGTTTAGAAACATCCCTCTTTTTTAACCGGGATTTTCGTATCAATCACTTTACAGCTTCAGCTTGCTTTATATTTTCTTACGATGTACAGTCTCTTGTAAAAGTAATGTCCCTCGGATACCTACCACTGTAGCATAGGCAACCAACATCCCAGCCGCCTAGTCCAAGTTGGATTTGCGGGTGTGCGAGGTAGCTATCTAATGCGGTTCATTTTCAGCAGATATTCCCATTAGCCAAACTAAATACTAGTCAGTAGAATAAAAGTGAATGCCATCGATTTATTAGCTCAAAGGATCTGCGCTGCATATCCTTGGCTTGGTGCAGTAAACATTTTTACATTTCTTACAATTGGTTTGGTGCGTTTTAAATTTGCAAATAGTTTAGCTAGAGACTATTAAGACAAAATAATGGCTTTTCACTTTTTAATTTTTTGAGTAGGTTTTCTTCTAACGAAATAAAGGTGATATTCTTGTCCTTTAATGACACTGAAATTCCAGTGTCATTAATAATTACTTGCGAGTAGGTCTCCTCATGGAATGCGATTAATTGCCCTACAAGTGCACTGTGCAACAATACCTTTCTTTTGT